AAAACTCTAGCTGCTCCTCAGGTGTCAGATTCCTGCTTGCTTCACCCGCTATGCACATCTTTTATAAATGTGTGGTCACATTAGCAAAATTTCGCTGAGAAAAACGTCCATTCTCAGATTTATAAAGCACAGCTCGCACAAAAGTTTCTTTCTTGTTTTGTCGTGACAATTACTTAATTATCTTGTGATCTCGACATGACGAAAGTTGTTTTCTCGTTATCACAACTTAATTTTTTCTGGTGATCTCGACATAAGTTATTTTCTCGTGATCACGACATAACAAAAGTTGTTTTCTCATTATCACGACTTAATTTTCTCGTGATCACGACATGACGAAAGTTGTTTTCTCGTTATCACGACTTAATTTTCTCATGATCTCGACACAAGTTTTCTCATGATCACGACATAACAAAAGTTGTTTTCTCATGATCACGACTTCATTTTCTCGTGATCTCGACATGACAAAAGTTGTTTTCTCGTGATCACGACATGACGAAAGTTGTTTTCTCGTTATCACAACTTAATATTTTCTGGTGATCTCGACATAAGTTATTTTCTCATGATCACGACATAACAAAAGTTGTTTTCTCATTATCACGACTTAATTTTCTCGTGATCTCGACATGACGAAAGTTGTTTTCTCGTTATCACGACTTAATTTTCTCGTGATCTAGATATAACAAAAGTTGTTTTCTCGTTATCACAACTTAATTTTCACGTGATCTCAACATAACGAAAGTTGTTTTCTCGTGATCTCGACATAAGTAAAGTTGTTTTCTCGTGATCTCGACATAACGAAAGTTGTTTTCTCGTTATCACGACTTAATTTTCTCGTGATCTCAACATAACGAAAGTTGTTTTCTCATTATCACGACTTAATTTTCTCTGTTTTCTCGTGATCTCGACATAAGGAAAGTTGTTTTCTCGTGATCTCGACATAACGAAAGTTGTTTTCTCGTTATCACAACTTAATTTTCTCGTGATCTCAACATAACGAAAGTTGTTTTCTCATTATCACGACTTAATTTTCTCATGATCTCGACATAAGGAAAGTTGTTTTCTCGTGATCTCGACATAAGGAAAGTTGTTTTCTCGTGATCTCGACATAAGGAAAGTTGTTTTCTCGTGATCTCGACATAACGAAAGTTGTTTTCTCGTTATAACAGCTTAATTTTCTCATGATCTCAACATAACGAAAGTTTTTTCTCGTGATCTCGACAAAACGAAAGTTGTTTTCTCGTTATCACAACTTAATTTTCACGTGATCTTGACATAACGAAAGTTGTTTTCTCGTTATCACGACTTAATTTTCTCGTGATCTCGACATAAGGAAAGTTGTTTTCTCGTTTTCACAACTTAATTTTCTCATGATCTCGACATAAGGAAAGTTGTTTTCTCATGATCTCGACATAAGGAAAGTTGTTTTCTCATGATCTCGACATAACGAAAGTTGTTTTCTCATTAAAGATATAGGTGCAAACAGAATACAGTGACGTCAACACTGGTTTTAATAAGCAGTTCTTTTATCACACGGAACGCTATGCGGTGGTGAAACTGATGAGTCACGCATCTAGCAAGAACTTAACGATAGACAAAAAAATCATATTGATTCAAGCATTTAACATTTATGAATTAATTAAATGTCAGTAATGAACAATACTGCACAAATTATAGTGATCATGAAGAAGGTCCTTATTCTGTCCCAAACGTGTACAGTAAAGTGGATATACACCACAACACCCCATCAGTTATATTCAGTGCTATAGTGCCACCTGTTGGCGCAGTTGTGTAACTTAGAGAACAACTTTCGTTATGTCGAGATCACGAGAAAATTAAGTCGTGATAACGAGAAAACAACTTTCGTTATGTTGAGATCACATGAAAATTAAGTTGTGATAATGAGAAAACAACTTTTGTTATGTCGAGATCGCGAGAAAATATTAAGTCGTGATAATGAGAAAACAACTTTCGTTATGTCGTGATCATGAGAAAATAACTTATGTCGAGATCACGAGATAATTAAGTCGTTATCACGACAAAACAATAAAGAAAAAAAATTAATAATCTATCACCTCTTAGGACTTCCGTAACTTTCATAGCAAGCAGCGGGCAACTTTTTTTCACGCGAATCTCCCCCATTCGCGGGGATTGCTATTTGAATGACTGGAATTCTCCTGCGAAATTTCGTTGAGCAAAGTTAAATGTGACAGCGCCTTAACATAGATCTGTTTGAGTATGATTTGTATATATTTCCACCAACACTTTTTACATGAAACATCATCATATCAAATACCCTTTATAAATTACTGATTTGCCATTGCTTAATGTAGAAATCAGCAGTAGGCCTACTGATTCGATTAACAAGGAAGCTTTCGTCAAGCAGAGAAGGCTGACCTTGGTTTCCAAGCACAGTTCAGTATCTAGTGTTTGTTTAACATCATGCAGTTTTTCTTCTAAACTAGGTACATCAGGGACTGCTCATCACAGGTTTGCGTGATACAAAAATCAGATGAACGAGTTGGTAAAGTACTAACTAAGGTCAATGTATTGTGATGCTACGCACATTAAAAGCACACACAGACGATAGCAAAAAGAGATTGTCAGTTAGTTGTCAAACGACATGGTTTTACCGTGATAGATGCATAGGTGAAGTGGAGAACAAATAGGTGGTATAAAATTCGCAATTTCCATAGTAAAGCTATTGATCCATAAGAACAAAGAGGTATTTTTTGAATAGTTGTCTATATGATAAAGGAGAGGATGACAACATCCAGCAGCCATTTTGAGAATATCATCCGATAAATTGCGTTTGCTCGGCTAAATCAAATAAGTGTTTTACCTAGCTACCAGACTTTATTAGTGAATTTTAAGTATTAATTTTAAATGTCAAATAAGTGCACGACTCATTTGCTATGATAAAACTGTATTTATGTAGACCTACAGTGGGTCCAAAAGTCTGAGACCACATTTTATTATTTAAACCTGGATATAAACAGAATTATTTGGATTAAAAAAAGAAGGTTATGACATAAAATAGAAAAGAAGTAGCCTACTAATTCTAAGTCAGTATGAAAATCTGTGACATTGACCAGTTTTTCTATTAAACATGTCAAAGTCTTGGTTCAATTCCTAGGGAATGGATGAACTAATACAAATTATACCTTAAATGCAATGTAAATTGTTTAGGATAAAAGTGTCTGCCAAATGCATTAATGTAAAATGAATTAATAATAAAGTTGGATTAAATTATAAAACAATACAAAATATATGCATTTTCACTTGTGGTCTCATTTTTGGACTTTGGGACCCCACTATAGTGGCTCCACAACCAAAGTCTGAATATCATTGCATTTGCAACTAAATATCAAACCAAATGGCAGCTGTGGGTTTTCCCCAGAAATTTTTTTTTGCAAAAATGTTTAAACAACTGATGTTTTGGTGATTTTCAGTGGATGTATGAAGTCAGTTCTTCTCAAGCTCACACAGGTGTCCTAGCAGAAAAACCTCAGGTGGCCGTACACGAATATGAGGCCCATGAAGAACAGCACAAGAATGGACAGACAGGAGAAGATGGCGCGCACGTATCCGGTTGCGGTGGATGCCGTAGGGCAGGTTCTGTATCCGATAGTCTCCTTGTATAACTGTAACATATGCAGACACTCCTTGCAGTAGGTGTGCAGGCACTCCAAGATTTTGGACTGAAATAGTTCATACTCCTCATAGGGAAACGCCGGCCCGTACCAATAAGTGATCCGATAGTGACTCATTAGATACTAGGACTTCTATAAGTACTAGTCCTTCTTTAGCTATTGAAATTTGCTATTCAAGGAGTTACTAGTATATTTTACAGTTTCCCAAGTACTAATTGAATAGGCAGTGTGAATTCCATGTAACTTTACAGTAAGGTTCCATTTGTTAACATGAATGAACTAACTGAAAATTACTTCTGAAGCATTTATTAATCTTAGTTAATGTTCATTTCAACATTTAGATATTAAAATCAAACCTTGTTTCTGATGATATCAGCCTAATGGACCTGAGCCATGCAGAACACAATGAAAAGTTGTATTTTTATTAACTAACTTTAACAAATACTGTGGCAAATGCAGTGTTCGAATGGGGGAGGGGGGGGGGGGGGTCAATTGCTGTATTAAATTAGACCTGCTCATGTTACATATTATTACATCACGTCCAATCAGAAGCTTTCAGATGCGCTCACTGAATGCATCTCATTTCTCAACGATAAGAAATAACAAATGTATTTATTGATTTATTTTTGAAGGGAGCTTTGACACAATTCGAACACTGGCCAAATGTATTGCTCATTGTTGTTTAATGCATAAACTAACGTTAACAGGGAAAAATGGGGGGTGCCGGGGGGGGGGGGGGGGGGGGGTGTCAATTGCTGTATTAAATTAGACCTGCTCATGTTACATCATATTACATCACGTCCAATCAGAAGCTTTCAGATGCGCTCACTGAATGCATCTCATTTCTCAACGATAAGAAATAACAAATGTATTTATTGATTTATTTTTGAAGGGAGCTTTGACACAATTCGAACACTGGCCAAATGTATTGCTCATTGTTGTTTAATGCATAAACTAACGTTAACAAATAGTTTATAATCATTGCACAAATATAAGCAATTGTAACTAGTGAGATAAAAATGTTACTAGTAGTGTAATTATACTGTAAAAAAAACATTATAGAAGTTTGTCTACGTTTTGCAAGAAAATACTTTCAAAATTCCACGTTTAATGCAGTGTTACTTGACGTCCTTTATAATTATTTGTGAACTTTACCATTAATTTCTGAGTGTAGATTGTTTCAAAATAGCCTAATTTTCCCCCAGTATACTGGGATTGATAGTAGCTAGTTGGCACATCTAGCCAATATTAATAAATAGTATAACTCTTTAAAAGATACTGATAGTACTAGTAACATGAAAAGAAACTAACCGGTATTAAGAAATAATAGCTGAAAGGGCTTGTCATACGATTCTGATCTTCTGTCACGCGTTTCTCCGGCTCGCATTAGTGCTGGCCGAGGAGCGGCCCGTCTCGTGCTCCGGTCGGTCTTTGAGCCAGTAGAGGAGCCACGTTACCATCGCCGACACCATGGCGAGGATGCTTGCCACCGACAGACAGAGGGGTCCCGTGGGCGAGGGCGGCCCGCCGTGGCTGTGTACGAAAACGAGGCCCATGAAGAGCAGCACTAGCATGGACAGTAAAGAGAAGATGACGCACACGCACCCGGTTGTCAACGCGAGCCGCCTACAGTTTTGGCAGCTCTCGTAGCGCGAGACCGAGTCCTGGGACAGCGTGGTCGTGGTGGACGGCGTCGCGTGACCAGCCATGGACGCCCCGGACGCGTCCTCCTCGCGCCTGAGCGCCACGAGCGCCGGGTGCATTGGTGGCCGGTGGGGCGGCAGAGCATCTTGAGGCACAGGGTCCGAATCGATGTACAGAGGGAAGTCTTCCGTGACCTTGGTGTTGTTAGGCAGGTTCTGGATCCGATAGTCCGGCACGGGCGTGCGGTGGCGGCACACGGGGCAGCTGATGCGCCACGGCCGCTCCTCGCACAACTGCAGCGAGTGCAGACACTCCTCGCAAAACGTGTGCAGACACTCCAAGATCTTGGGCGCCCGACGGTCGAGGTCGAAAAAGTTGTAGCAGATTTTGCACTCGTATTCCTCGTAGGGAAACGCCTTGGGTACCGGGAGACCGGGCGACTCCGGTCCGTTTGCTGCTGCATCCGCCGCTGCCATGGCATCTCGCGCCGCTTCACATCCTCCACACAATGGGCGCCTGCCAGTCACGCCAGCCACCTTTTCTTCTCTTTATCCTGTCAGCGAAAGCCGGTAAACCCGGACATGTTATGTGTCAAGCCTTTCTTAAAGCGCTTCTTTTAGTCTCCGTGCACTTTGAGTAAATAATTCACCGTATCGTTCCGGTGCGGGCGGGAGGTGATGTAATGCCGCCTTAAGGGCGACTTTATTCGCTCTCATCCAGAACCGAGGGGCGGTTGCGAGCGCGTCGAGCCCGGAAAGATGCGGGACGCGGGAATCACACCTCAATCAAAGCATCAGACGCGGGTCAAACAGCGCGAGCCTTTCGGCTCAACGATGCTGTTTGCGTCAGTAGATTTAACTCCTTCTTTGCTGTCCAAACCTCTCTGGTTTTCCTTCCATGTATCATTCCCATGGAACTGAAAGCTGGCCATATCTACCTGTTTGACATTTCAACTAGCTCACGTTGTTGTCATGGAAACTAATAATCCAGAAACATAAGGCTTGCCTATTTCAGGTTCGTTCACAGACTTCTCAGACACCCTCCATTCAAATAAATAAAAATTAGTATTATGTTTATTTTGTATGTGACAACTAGCCCCGGTGTCCTTTTTGCGTTTTATATTGGGCAAAAAAATGTAAACTCACAATTTAAACAAAAAATGGAAGTTTTGTCACTTTTCTCCATATGCTAATAACTTCTGACATGGATAAATGTTTCTTCATTTTGAATTTTTACTAATAAAACAAAACATTGAAATTAGTAATCTAATTATGAGAAAGAGAAAGTGCCTGACATGTGGCCAAGCATGGTGACCCACACTCAGAATTAGTGCTCTGCATTTACCCATCCAAAGTGCACACACACAGCAGTGAACACACACACACTGTGAACACACACCCAGAGCAGTGGGCAGCCATTTTTTTGCTGTGGCGCCCGGGGAGCAGTTGGGGGTTCGGTGTCTTGCTCAAGGGCACCTCAGTCGTGGTATTGAAGGTGGGAGAGAGCGCTGTACATTCACTCCCCCCACCTACAATCCCTGCCGGTGCGAGCCTCGAACCCGCAACCTGTTACGAGTTCGACTCTCTAACCATTAGGACACGACTTCCCCAATTATAGGTTTTTCCTTAATATTAATTTCCTGTTAGTGTTTTTGTAGTCTTTTGAACTAAAACTAACAAAAGCCATTTGCCAAATGATATCATCTTGCAGGACCAGGAAGTGCATTTTTGGTGGGAAAACAACAACACAAACACCAGGGCCCCAAATATGATTGGACTTCAGTTATCAGATTGGATCAAATCTTGAAAATTATTCTAATCTGTTCAGATTAGATTATGTGATCCAGTCTTGGTTTTGATCTGGATCAAACCATCAGTAGTGTAAATTGGGACACTTTTTGCCATTGAGATTGCTTGGGGGAAAAATTGCCAAATTGACCCCCTGTGGGTTGTTAAAAACCTTTTGGTAAGGTTGGGATACATTTGATACAAAACATCAGGAACATTCAGAAAAAGAGGGGATTTAGATAATAAAACTTTGAAATTGGTCATATAGGCTAACGCAATGTTTGTATCATGCAGTGCATATACAGTGATAAAATAGATTTAGAAGAAAAGTATTCTTTTAAGACATTTAAGAGATTCAAAACGAAGGGGGATGATCATTATGATCCAGATTAAACTTTTAGAGTTTTAGCCAGGGATTTGGCTATTTCTGTTTTGTGATTTGGTTAATTTGTCTCACTCTTAAACTCTACATCTCATTAGATAATATTACATAAAACGTGTTATTATCATATAAAATATGAAATCGAAATGTTGACACCTTCATTACTGTCAAACTTGAAATCGCATCATATGACCCCTTTAAGTCATCGTACTGTTGGGTCTTTGTTTTTCTGAAATGAGAAGAAATAGATTAGAATAGACAGAAACAAAATGAAATTTAACTTGGACAGCTGTTGTAACACAAACCAAATTCTCTTATTCATTTTCCTCAGTGTTTCTATTTTAGATCTTTGTTCACTTTATGCTGTTTCCACAAGTTTACATATAGTTTCCACAGCAACAGCATCAGACAAACTGCATTTGATTGGTTCACCTCTGGAATCAATGTAGCTGAACTAAATTGAACATGAGTGGAGAAGTTATTCATTTGTTCGAACGTTCAATGAAGCTTAATTTTGAATTGCTTTTTGTTATATCTCCTGAAGAAACAAAGATGAACATGACTGAACCAAGGTTATTATCATTAACTAAGGGGTTTACATGACACTGTTTTCAACTAAAAACTGACATTTTTATGCATCTTGGCTGTTCGTTTACATGCCATGTGTTTTGGGAGCCTAAAAATGCAAACTTTTGAAAACGTGTTTCAAAGCGCAAGTTTTCGAAAATGGTCATGTTATCGCCTCAGTATAAACTCCAAAAAAAGTGAAATTATGAAAATGGCGACATCATGCGCTTGCATAATATGCATTCATTCTATAGAAATGCATATGTGGCGGTATTTAAAAAAAAAAAATTTTTTACAAAGTGACATTGCCAACTACTGGCCTGGCATGCATAATACAGCGCTTTTAGTTTTCACGGATCCGTGAATATGGGGATCATTTTGACAACGTTGTCGTCTGTAATGTGTTTTAAAAATGCAAAGGAAAATCCATTTTTAGTGCAATCGTTGTTGTGTAAACGTACCATAAAACTGAAACCATTACAACATTTTGTTACTTGAAATAAAATAAACTAACTGAAAAACTAAAAAAAAAAAAAAAAGCTTAAAATATTAGTCAACTAAACTATAATAATATATTAATGATACTAAAATAACACTGAACTGGAAATAGTCCCCTAAATCTGGCAATATGCTATAAATGGTAAGAAAAAAGTACCAGAAAGTAAAGTACCATGTTTGGGTATCAAGTTGCATTACCATCTTACTCTCAGAAAAAAGGTATAAAAGCTGTCGCTAGGGTTGTACCTTTCAGGTAGGTACACGTATGTACCTTATTTACTCCTAAATGGTGCATATTATTAGCACCTCCAGTGTACATATTAGTACCTTTTGAAAGGTTGACACTACAGTAACAGCTATTGTACCTTTTTTCTGAGAGTGTATTATCAGCAACAGTACTTATTTTGTATTTCCCCTTTGCCTAATTTTCATCAAATTTTTCTGTCTCTCTCGCTGCAGGTGGTAATGTATATTGGGCAAGTGATGAAGGATATTTTAAAGCTGCCGCGTCCTCCATCTCCCCCTGTGGTCAAACTGGAAACGCGTGTGGATGCAGAGTACGGGATGCCATCCACACACGCCATGGCAGCGACGGCCATCTCATTTACGCTGCTTCTCAGTGCCCAGGAGAGAGTGAAGGTCAGACACACATGCTAGATTGAGAATGTTTTGAATGTGGCTTGTTTTTGCACCGTTCACTGAAGGGGCGGGGCCATCTGTCACCATCGGTCAGCCCAAGTCCCGCCCACACATCTGTTGTGTGCCATCCATTATAATGAACTCTCAGTAAATGCCTGTCAATCAGCGTCAGTTATAGATGGTGCCATCAATCAGCTTTCAAACCTTTGACTCTTGAGTGGCACAGTAGCACACATATTTAAGCATTATAAAACTTTATTAGTGGATTAAGTTGCATTCCTTTTAAGAGTGCTGTTTTCTGTAGGCTTATTTTTCTTGTTTAGGCTGCTGTTTTTAAATGTTATTAGGCTATATTTTTTATTTAATTTTATTTATATGATTAAGTATCTGTGTTGAAGCTAATTTCAAACCATATTCAAGATGTCAAGTTAAATGTACAAAATAAGATGTATAATGATGAAATATATTGCAATAAGAGAAATATTTACACTGTCATCAAAAATTTGGGACCAGTAAGATTTTTTTAAAGAATGTAATGCTTTCAATCAGCAAATATGTATTAAATTGATCAAAAGTGACAGTAAATCCATTTATGTTATAACATTTCTGTTTCAAATAAATGCTGTTCTTTTGAACTTTCTATTCATCGAAGAATCCTGAAAAATAAAATGCAAAACGGTTTCCACAAAAAATGTGAAGCAGCACAACTGTTTTCAACATTGATAATAATCAGAAAGGTTTCATATTAGAAAGATTTCTGAAGATCATGTGACACTGAAGACTGGAGTAATAATGCTGAAAATTCAGCTTTACATCACAAGAATAAAGTACAGTTTAAAATGTATTCAAATAGAAAACAGTTTACTTTAAATTGTAATAATATTTGACAATATTACTGTATTTTGGATCAAACAAATAGAGCCTTGGTGAGAATTAGAGAAAAAGTAGTTTGTTACTAGTCCAGATATTCAGTTTTGAAAATGTTGCCCTACTTAAAACTAGTTCTAGCTTAAAAGGAAGAACTGATTTGAAAAATGATTCTTTGTACGGAAAGGAAACCAGAGAGCTGTGTGTGTATGATTTAAGAGTAAAAAAATCCATTCCAGTCAATTATGCATGAGCTCTACTGTCCCACATTCATTCGTGCCCATTCAGGAAACATTCTTCATTAACTTCCTGTGAAAGACCCCCAGCTGACAGAGGAAGAAAGAAAGGGATGAGAGAAAAGGAGAGATAGACAAATGGAGAGGCAGGGAGACGGATGCAGTAAGACAGAACAGAGGGGGCGGGGCAACTTCATGAATATGTAAAGGCTCTTCCAGTGTTGTCAGTGATTAACAGAGTCCTGAATAAAACCAGAGGGAAGAGCACATGTCAGGAGAAAAGAGCGGTTATTAGGAGAAGAGCTGCCACACAGAATGGCTGGAGACCACATCATAGAGAGAGAGAGGAAAAGACGACAAGGAAAGATGGATGAGAGGATGTTTTGATAAAGACACTGAATTTTCAGCTGGAAAGACTGATTGGGAGGAAAAAACACCATAGAAGTGACATTAAAAGTAGTTCATATGACTTGTGCACTATATTCCAAGTCTTATGAAGCTGAAAGATAGCTTTTTGTGGTCAATGGATAAAATTTAGCACATTATTTATGGAAAATCTTCCCCTCTGCTATAGCTTTCGAATCAAATTTGTATTTGTTTACATTCAAACTTGACAAAAGGGACATCAAACTGACTGTGAATGATGATAAAATGCTCATTTTTGATTGAACTGTTCATTTTTCTGTCTTTGTGCATGTTAGTTCCCGTTTGAACTGGGACTGATTGTGGCCGTGGTTCTGTCTGCGCTGGTGTGTCTGAGTCGTCTTTATACTGGCATGCACTCTGCTCTGGTAAGACTGGAAGAGAGACTTTAAAATGGCCATGCACTTTTGCGTTTGATATGAAACATTTATACTCTTGTATTATTCATATAGTCTGGCTGGTCTCCATAGATTTGAACTCTAGTTACTTTAATACAGCGCAGCTGTAGTGGTGCATCATGCTGAGGCAAACATTTGGCCTATTGGTCATGCTTGGAGATATTAATATAATAAAATGTTAATGAAAATATTAATATAAATATTTTAAAATGCTAATATTTTAATATATTAAAAGATTTGTATTCGCAAACATTTTATATGTAATATTATACGAAAACCTAGTAGTTTAGCATTAAATCTAACTATTAACCTGTTGTTTTAAATGGAGCTTTATATATCACATTGCAAGTAAACTGCCCATTTAGAACACCCTGCAAAAAACAGCTAAAAATATCCTAATAACCATGCAAAACACCCTAGCAATCACACAGCAACATGTTAACAACCATTTAGAACACCCTTGCAACCAGCTAGAAACATTAATTACTCTCAATAACCTAGCACCTAGCAACACGTTAACAACCACTCAGGACACCATAGCAACCACATAGCAGCACGATAACACAAAGATCAACCTTGCAATCTAGATAGCAACATCTTAACCACTTATAACACTCTATAACAGCTACATAGCACCACATTAACAACCACTCAAAACACCCTAGCAACTGCATAGCAACACAGTAACCACTCAGAACACCATTGCAACCATCTAGAAACATTATAAAAACCACTCAGAACACCCTAGTGTCCGCATAGCAACATATTAACAACCACTCAGAACAATGTAGCAACCACATAGCAACAAACTAACAACCACTCAGAACACCCTAGCAACTACATAGTAGCACGAACACCATAGCAACGCATTAACAACCACTCAAAACACCCTAGCAACCACATAGCAACAAGTCAAGAACCACTCAGGACACCCTAGCAACAGCATAGCAACACAGTAACCACTCAGAACACCATTGCAACCGGCTAAAAACATCTTAACAACCACTTACAACACTCCAGCAACCGCATAGCAACACATTAATAACCACTCGGAACACCCTAGCAACTGCATAGCAACACCGTAACCACTCAGAACACCATTGCAACCAGCTAGAAACATCTTAACAACCACTTACAACACTCCAGCAACCGCATAGCAACACATTAATAACCACTCAGAACACCCTAGCAACTGCGCAGCAACACGGTAATCACTCAGAACATCATTGCAACTGGCTAGAAACATTATAAAAACCACTCAGAACCCCTAGTGTCCGCATAGCAACATATTAACAACCACTCAGAACGATGTAGCAACCATATAGCAACACATTAAAAACAACATTAGCAACACAGTAACCATGCATAGAAAATGTGTACATATTTCATAATAATGGCATAGAAACTGCATTATTGTGTCATTATGAGTTGTGCTACATGAATCTAGAATTACAGAGTCTGATACTAATGACTGAAATCTTTCTCCTTTATGTTTCCTCTTCCTCTCAGGATGTAATCTGTGGCGTTGTAATTTCAGCTGTCATTATGGCTGTGTCGTACCCATACTGGGGAACCATTGACTACCTGCAGCTGCACAATCCTCTCTCCCCTGTGGTGGGGGTGGTTCTGCCCCTCTTCCTGTCCTATAAGTACCCCGAGCTGGACCATTACAGCACCACACGGGGGGACACCACTGTTATTTTAGCATGCTGTTCGGGATGTTCAGTTGGATACTGGGTGAATGAGCGATTGGGCTTGACCTTTGACCTAGCCGGGCCTTTTCCAGTGACCCTACCACCGCTGACCCTCGCGGCCTTGGGTCTCGGTGTGGCACGGTTCCTGGTCGGGTTAGGGATGCTGGTCCTGACCCGGCAGACGGTGCGCTGGGCGAGTCTGCGGGTGCTCTGTCGAATTAACGGAGCATCTGTGAATGACGTCGAAGCACGCAGAAGGAAAGAGATCGAGGTGCCGTATAAGTTCAGCACGTATGTTGCCATCGGACTGGTCAACAGTATCTTAGTGAACAGAGTGTATGTGATGATGGGACTCTGGGATTTGGGAAATTCGGTGTAATTTCACAGTGTTTACAGGGAAGTTTGAACAGAATCTCGCTCCGTAATTCATTCTCAGGGAGAAATTCACTTTAGTCTTTGTTCAGGAATGGTTGGCACATAAAAGGGCCTTTCGCACCGCTTTAGTTCCAGAACTAAATGTACGGTACTAAAGTACTGGGATGATTTTGCGTGAACTATTTTCCAGTACCATTTAAAGGGTTGCATTCGCACCGAGAGTGTGTACTAAGAAGTGACGTAAGCCGGTCGACAGCGTCGTCATTTGTGCGCGGCGTTCAACAACAGAAACAAAGAAGAACAACGTTAACATCTGACAGGATGGAGGACGCTGTGATCGGAGCTGTGTGTTTGTTGCGTCTCGCGGGTTTCACAATAATGGACATGGAAAGTCGACGTATACGTAAAGCGATTGAAAGAACGGAAAGGAGGACTAAGAATCTCCAACAACAACTGGCAGTGCTACATTTGCTACAAGTGCCTGCACTTCAGCATCCGTCCGTCTATCGCTGTTCTCCATACTTGCGAAATAAGTTGACACAATGTTTACAGTATGTTTACACAGCGTTTTAAATCATGGCGGGTGAGGGCGTTTTCATACGCGTTTGGCCAATCAATGTCTACTTACGTCACGATTAGTACCAGTTGTGCTGGTTAGACCCTGCTCCGGAGTAGGAGCTAATTTGGTTCTCGAAAAAGGCAGTCCGGTACTAAAATCGCACCCAGTTCCGGCAATGCGAAAACGCCAAAAAGTGGGTAGTTCCACAATTAGTTCTGGTACTATGAAAAGGTTCCCACGGTGCGAAAGGCCCTAAATTCTCATTGAACAGTAGTTTGTTAAACCTACTAGCTGCATTTTGTCAGATTTTGAAAACCGAATTACAGTTTGTGGATGTTTTGTGGCAGATTCGCTTGATTTTTAAGAGAATATTCTTGGTTAAATACAAGCTAAAGGAGAATTGTGTAATTTCTGTGCCACAAAAGTCACCAACTAAAATCAGAAACGCATACAAATAATTTGAAAAATGACTAATGAATCATTTCCTTGACTCTCATCTGCTATAGAGTGAAAGGAGTTAGCATTTTTTTGTGTGTGTGAAAATGAGTGTATTTTTACACTTTTGTGCGCTTTTTTACGCTTCCAGTTGCATCGTCCCTAAGTCAATGTTTTTTGTGAACAGGTTTTTGGTTTAATGTCTGTGTTTACAGAAGATATTTTCACGTTTTATTCTACAACATAAAATACATCAGTAATAGCCCACTGGTTTTTATTTTAGAGATTTTACTTGTCTTGAAAAAGATGGTTGCTATGGTATTCTGGGACATTAAACGTCATCACACCAAACAGGTAAACTCATCTACTCACTAGTTCTTTCACAGCCTCATTATGTTTAGAATCACACTCTTGCAAACGATTCTAACTCAAACTAATCAACTAAGGATTGAAACGCCACTGGTTTAGTCAGTGCTGCTGACATTGATGATTAAGTAAATAGTCACGTTTTGATCATACTTTTTTGTGGGATAATTCAATGTATGCCTTGCATGAAGATGGGATATTAGAATATATTTTATCATTTCACCTTTATAGGAAACTGTTGATTTCTACTTCCAACCATAACTTAAGTTATAAACTTAAGTCAGTGGTGCAGAGTTATGGCTGTTGCCCAATAGTCTTCCATTGTAAAAGCATTTTTTATCAGGTCAAACTGTCGGACAAATTGATATTATTATTATTTTCTGTGGTAATAAGAGTAAATGGAGCTAGCATGGATTTTCCTTTCGATGTTTTCCTAAAAACAGCGTTGCCTTAAAAGTTAGATTTTGCACTGAAACCCACAGATTAAAGATGCAGTCACTTTTACCATTGTTGAGTGGATTTCACCCGTGAAAATTCACTAATTTCAACAGGAATCCATGTGATTGGGAATTTCGTGTGAGGGCCAAAGATTTCCCCTCGCAGATTTTGTGACGGGTTCAAGATGGTCACACGAATTTGTCGTGTTGACCAACAGAAAGCTGCTGGATTTGAATGTGATTTCTGCGCGAGTTGTGCTACACCATTGACAACGGACCTTTTGGCCCTCAAAATATCGCTGAAATTTTGCCAATGTCTTTGAAGAAAGTCCTTGAAGAAAAAGGTCTAAGTTCAGTTTTGTGACATCACAATGACAAGCTTAAAAGGTAGATGATGATGTTTAATAATGACCATTTGACTGCCTCAAATCTATGCTTTTTTTTAAACACGTAGTTATGCATTTGATATTTATTACAAAATACTGAAGAACATATTTTGTACTTTGAGTTGCCGGGTATGATACTCGGGATGTGTTTATGAGCTTTTACAGATGTGGTAAAAGAAATTAATAAACACAGTAAAAACGGCTCTGAGTATATGTCTTCGCTCTCCCTTCATTGTTTTTTTTAATTGTGTTGATGTGCTGAGGAGTGTTTGGTTTAACAGTTCTTTATGACAGAAACCACAAACTCGCCTCTCATGTCGCCACAAACCCTCACAAATGCAGTGTACACACAGACCATCCTTTCACACACACCCAAATTAAAGACTGAGAATAATAGCCTCTAATCACTTACCCTCTTAAATGTGTAGTTCAGACACATCTACTCAACTTTTAACACTTAGAATAATATCAAAGGCATTAAATAGCTAGTATGAAACTGACAAGTATGGGAAGCCATTGAGCTCGTTGAATATGCATGTGAACTGAATGAAGCCTTTGGATTTTTAAAATCATGAAAAAACTAATTCAGTCAAATGCATGTAAACAAGTCTGGTAGCTGCTGGAAATCAGGGGCCTGTACCATGATAGTGGCTGAACAAACTCAGGGTTACAGGATTAGTTTTGAGTTGACCAAACCAATCCAATCTGGCTTTGTTGGTACCATGATGCTGACCATCAACTTTCTCTGTCAACTCAGGCTTTGATCCTGAGTTAATGAAGCAAGCGTGACGTCAGTAATGAACAGCCAATCACATGCCCTTTAACTGTGATTCACTTCTCGCAATTCACTGCCTTAGATTAAAAGATTGAAAAATATTAATTTAAATACATTTACACAGCAAGGTGGAAAGAGCTATCAGTGAAAGAGGACAATTAAAAGAAAATATCTTGCCATATCGGTGCAAGTGACGTTAGTTTATATAGTTATATATTATATATATAGGTAGAAAGAGACTCAAAAATCTAAACTCAAATGTAGTCATGTTTAAAGCTTTATCTATTAATTCTAAAGCTTATTTATATTCTATATTATCTGTATATATTTATATTAATTTAAAATAAGATTAATCATTAGTATTTTAATATGGCTTGTGTAACGGATTAAGGCTATAATAAATAAATAATCATTACTAAAAGCCAGATGATTTTATCTTTAAAAATGTTTTACTATGTAGTGCCCTTTAATTTGGAGCAAGAGAAACTGTGGGAGTGGCTTTATTGCGTCAGAGATTCTTGAAGCTGATTGGTCAAATTTCAGTTTGCGATCTCTAAACTAGAACATAACCTGCCCTGGAGCAGGTTAGCTATGGAGCGTAAGTTACTATGGCGTTAGAACACTGCTAAAAGCCAAGCCACTTTCATGGTACCTAAAACCCAGGATTGGTGCAAACTAAACTGAAACTTACCTGGCTAGCCAGCTAATCCGGCTTCATGGTACAGGCCCCAGGTGGAGCCCAACTCTCTCGCCCTGACCTGTTAAACCAGACACTTCCTCGCTATCATCTCAAACCAAACACACAGATTTGGGCTTGTTAATCAGTGATCAGGAGTCCTGCTTAACGACTTACAGCTGAAATATACTCGCATACACAAGCCACTTCAAATATACCTGTGATTACTCCTATATAGCACACACAGACATACAGACTTGGCATCAGCGCAGCTAAAGTTGTTTAACAAACCTCTGACCAGTTCAGTGCCACATACTGACACGCAGGTAAACATCAAAGATCGCCTTGATTTAAAAAAAAATAAAAAATTACAGATAGAATATTAAGTTAGCTTTAGATAAAGTACAGTATGTCACATTAGATGAAATTGCTTGCTATACATCAAATCCACAAAAAATCTAGACATTTTTGTTGTATTCATCCATATTTATTTGTTTCGGTGTTGTAAAATGTGCTGGACACAAACATACAGCCATGATGTTTAATATATGAATAACATACTAGCAGTGGACAAGCTGAGTTTGATTAAAACATTGATTTATATCCTGAACATACAGTAACACATGCTGTTGTGGCTATTACTCATTTTCCAAAAGACAGATGTGACGGTAATGAGTGGCTGGGAGGAGCCCAAAGCGGAGGGGTGTGGCTAAGGTTATTTTGCATTATGACATCACAGGAAGGGTTCGATGTCGATATCGATGGCGGAGCAGGGCATGGTCAGCTCAAAACGACTGATGACATCAGGGTGAAGGACCCCGAGGTGTCCAATGCTTTTGCCACATGAAAAGATCTCAGCACAGCGGCCTGGGAAGAAGGTGGAGTCTGCAAGAAATATAATGAAAATAAAATTGATTAAATATCTAATTCTTTATAATAACATGCACAGTGTTATTTTAGCATTTATTATATACTATTATAGTATTTTTAAATATTTTGAATTAACTTAATTTTATATTTTCATTATTATTAGTATATTTTAATTTGAAAGTTTTAGTAATTTTGTTTTGTGCTTGTCTTTTATTTTTTTAGTTTGTTTTATTTTAATATTTAGCTTTCATTTAGTTTTGAGTAAATTTTAGTACCTCACCTTAAATTATTTTAGCTATGATCATTTCTAATTATGTTTGAAGTTAAATTTTTTTCATTAACTTTATATTAATTTTTAGTAAATATAATATATACACAATTTATTTACATGTATAATATATAATAAAATATATTTATTTCTTCTATGATATATTTTATTTCAGTTTACCCTTTTTAAATTAAATAAAATAATTTTTAATAGTTTAATTTTAGTTAATAATAATAACAACACTGAAAATGCACTGATGAATCATTCCCAATAAGACCAGAAACATGAATAAAGAAATTAAATTTCAGGTCAATTTTTATTTCATTAGACTTTAAATAGCTTGTTC